GCAGTATTCAGCAATAGGTGTTACGCATGTTTTTTAGAAAATTGTTCTGGATTCTCCATGAAGGAAGTTACGAAAGATGAAACCAAGCATTCTTCTCATTCGGGAAACTTTATTGGAGATATGTTCGGAGAAGTTAAGGTTGTGCGAATAATGCACTCCAAGATCAGTTACGGATGTGAGTTTGGGCAATACATTCCTGTTGAGAGTGAGATCTAATTTGGGGGACGTGTCTCCGAAACACATCCAGCCACATTTCTCAGTATTAAGTTCTAGGTTCCATTGTTTACATCAGACATCTAAAGTATTGAGTTCGTACTGGATTGTGTGCAACAAGTTTCCTAAAACAGATTTGCTAGTTTGATAAATCACTTTTAGGTCATCCGCATAGAGGTAGGTTTTACCAGTGTTGAAACAACTGCAAATGGTGTGGATGTAGATTATGAAAAGCAGTGGACCCAAAACACAATCGGATCAACAACGTCTTCGATGACATCAAATTCACAATGGAAAAGGAATCAAATAACAGCCTTTCATTTCTGGATGTACTAACCACCAGAACTAACACTGGAAAACTAGAAACTCAAATGTTTCGGAAGCCGACCCACACAGACGTAGATTATGAAAAGCAGTGGACACAAAAGACTGCCCTGCACAACAACACTGGTAATTGGTCGAGGTGTAGATGTATTAGAGTTGATTTTGGTATTCTGGTATCTATTTGTGAGGAACAACCTAATCCATTGCAACAGGTGGCCATCAATCCCGACGGACTGAAGTCAGTTGATTAGGAGATTATGAGTTACTTTATCGAAAGCCTTTTTGATATCAAAATACTGGTTGTTTTGATCGCACATGCTGGTAACCTCAATAAAGAAATCTAACAGACATGTGGTACATGACCTACTTCTAATGGAGCTATGTTGTGAGGAGTCAGTGTGACCTTCTCTGAGCAAGTGATCAGATAGTTGATCTTTTATCACTTTCTCCATCACAAGTGATATAACTGGGGTGATATTAACCGGTCTGTAGTTTCGTATTAAGTCTTTCGATCCAGATTTATGTACTGAGACAATATGAGTCAACGTCCACGATTCGGGAATGTAGCAGACTCAACGGATAAGGTAAAAATTTTAAGCAAAAGCGCTAGAAGGTTCGGTCCTGCCATTTTAAAAAGTATGGAAGGTATCTCACCCGCACCACAGCTGCGATTGGGTTTGAGGGTTTTGATTGCGGCTTGAATATTGTTAAGATCAAATTTTATGGTACAAAGATTATGCATACTGCTACAGTTAATGTTAGTATCAGGGGTAGGAGATGTGTTCAGATTGAGGGAGAACCATGTACTAAACAGTTCGCAAATAACAGCTTCGTCATAATAAGTCTGTCCATCTTGTAGTATAGAATGAATTTTGCGATCTGAGTCCTTTTTTATGCGTTTGTTAAGCAAACGACAGAGGTTTTGGGACTTACACGCAGTAGCGAGAGCATTATTTTCTTCGATTTGCTTACGCACTTCATGTTGATATTTCACACCTTTAAGTAAAGCGTAAATTTGTACAGGATGCTGAAGTCCTCAGATTTGAAATATGCCCGTTTTAGTTGACGTAGTTAAGCCCTAGCTTTATAGGTGATATAAGGAGTAACTGTTTTGAAAGACGTTTTGAGTGGGATAGTAGTGTCTAGAGCAGATTCAATGGTGACATTGAATATATGTCATGCATCAGGAAGTTCAAGACAAGAAAAAAACTCAGTCCTGTCGAAGTACTGAATTAGAAACCGAAAGCTGTTGTCCCAGTCAGCATGTTCATAGTCTCTGTATTGAAAACGGTTTACTGTTTTAGATTTGTCACATTTAGCAAAAAACGGAAGGGTGCAGAGGACAATTTTATAGTCACTGTTGTGAAACTTTTCGCAGACAGCCACAGATGTTGGGATGACATCGTCACAAAATACCAAATCGAGAATGTTGTAGTTTCTAGTAGGCAGGTGCACATGTTGTTGCCAACCATGTGTGTCTAGGGGACCAAGTAAGCTATCAAAGCGTAGTGGACCGGAATGTGTCTGCCATTTGATTCCAGGGAGGTTGAAGTCACCACAAATAATTTTGCAGGTGAATTTAAGACAGGCAGCCCTGGCAAACGACTCACCAATACCAACGTCAACCGATCGATGAGTGTTTGGAGCTCGGTATATGCATCCAACCAGTATTTTATATTCATGGTCGTGCACAGTCAGCCATATCGAATCAGGCACTTGATTAGGAACAGTATCATAAAACATTTCTGCTTTGATGTCTCTAGATACATAGATAAGGCAACCACCACCCTTCTTAGATCCTCGGTCACAGCGAAAGAGTTCATAATAGTCTATTAGAAGGAATGAGTCAGGGACCTAGTAGGACAACCAGCCTTCAGTAATCAGGACAATAGAAGGGTTGTTTAGAATTAAGAGATAGCGTAAGTGGGTAATCTTATTGATAACAGATCGGGAATAATTTAGCATTAGTGTTACATAGGATGAGTACTCATCTTTCAGGGATGCACGATGGGCATCTGGAGGGTTGTATGTTGTGTGTTCTGAAGAAGGGCTGGAAGTAGGAATATAGGCTTGATTGTTATGGTCAGTTAATTTGTGAGCGATATAGTTAGAGGGAGAAAGGTATTCAGAGACAGGCATGGTGAGAGAAGCATGTGAGGTAGGATATGATAAGTGTCGTTCGGCAGAGTAAAATGATGACCCCCAAAGAACAGATGAGGAAGTCGCTAGGGGGCATAAGGGTGGATCGTTTCGTAAGTCCATTAGATAAGGTATAGTGGAGTTAGTCAAATCTTTGGACAATGTGAAAAGTGGTTTGACAAAAGGACTAGACATAAAGATATAACAGCTAGAGGGGGCATATAGCGGCGATGCCCAAGCAGGCTAGTGTTATGAGTTATCTCAGCAACTCTAGGCATCCTAGTCTGTTTGTACGCAATCAAGGGTAAATGCTTTGGGTTAGAAACGGGGAGGCGCCTAAGGTTAGAGTTCAGGGAGGTAATTATGGTATGAGTGTCCGTATTCTCAGGAGTACTTACTTGCTTACGCCTGTTACCCTTAATGTAGCATAGGCCGCTCACCAGTTTTCTCCAACCAACTCTGTCTGTCCTGGGCTTCTCTCACCAGTTCTGTCCAATGTTTGTTCATTCCTCTCATATCTTTCTCTATTTCTCGGTGTAGTGTGTTCCCTGGCATTCCTCTTTTCTTTTTACCTTGAGGGTTCAGTGTGAGGGCTTGTCTTGTGAAGCAGTTAGGTGCTTTTCGTAGTGTGTGTGTCCTATCCACCAACTCCACCGCTTCTTCCTGATTTCCTCCTCCACTGGAATCTGATTTGTTCTCTCCCAAAGTTCGTTGTTGCTTATGGTTTCTGGCCAACAAATACGAAGTATTTTGCGTAGACAACTGTTAATAAACACTTGTATCTTCTGGATGATGGCTTTGGTAGTTCTCCATGTTTCCGCTCTATACAGTAGAACCGTCTTGACATTTGTATTGAAAATCCTGATTTTGGTTTTGTTTGAAAGTTGTTTGCAGTTCCAGATATTTTTCAACTGTAGAAATGCAGCCCTCGCTTTGCCAATCCGCGCCCTCACATCTGCATCCGATCCACCTTTCTCGTCGATGATGCTGCCCAGATATGTAAAGTTGTTAACGTCCTCGAAAGCATCTCCATCAAGCGTGATTTGGTTGGTGCATGTTGTGTTGTATCGTGTGCATGTTGAAACCTACTGCTGCAGAGGCTGCTGCTACACTATTCCTCTTTTCTTGCATTTGTTGTTGAGTGTGTGATAGAAGAGCCAGGTCATCTACGAAGTCCAGATCGTCCAGCTGCGTCCTAACTGTCCAGTTGATACCGTGCTTCCCTCCAGATGTTTACGTCTTCTCAGGAGTCCTAGGGTTTAATTTTAGAAGTATGGTAGAGTCCCGAGTAGGAGAGGTAGGTGGCAGGCATTGTTGTTTATTAGGCATGTTAAGTACTGAAGTTTGACTTTTAGGGCGAGTAGCATGTTTCATGTGAGAATTTCGAGCCACTTTGTCTGTCCCTTTATCTTTAGGACAATGTTTATATATTACAGAAGTGCGATTGACTTGTGGTTTACATGTAGATGGGCTTTTGACTACGGGACAATTTGCAGCACTTTTATTCAGGAGACAGGTCTTTGGACTAGTAGTCACTTTAGATCTGTTCTCCGTTTCAGGAGGGGCGGAGGGAGGCATTATAGGGTTAATGTGACATTCGTGATTGTAGCTGTTACTCTTGCACGAATCGGCCGCCATAGTTGAAAGGCCATTAGTAATACGGCGTTGTATCGTAGTTCTATCGTGGATAATTTTAATCTTCTTAAACAGTGGAATGTGTCTAAGTAGTGACTGACCATTAATGAAGTGATTGGCTCCCATGACAGTACTAAATTGAAGAAGAATAGGACAGGAAAATTTTGTCTGCACTTTGCGTAGCCTGCGTGCTACACACCAAGAGTGGGACAGTCCACACTCTTTAAGGAGAGTGTTTTTAACAGACTTTAGGCTAGCACTGTCAGGTACGTTATAAACAATGGCATTTTGCATGCATTGAAGTCTTTTTAACAATTCAGAGGATATATGGTCAATTAACATTTCGGTTTTTTTAATGAGATCAGGGTTTTCTGGAACAATGACCAGGTAGTAAATCCTGAATGGTTTGGTTGATATCGAGTGCACTGCACCCATTTATAATGGTGCAGATGCATTTACTCTTTGTGTTCTATGAAATTCTAACCTTCTGAATTCCTCATCACCACTATCTTCCTCTTTTTAAATTCACCTAACCACGTTTTACTTGCTGAATAATACGTTCGGACACTTATCGCTCCGATTACTGCTAATACTTCTACTATCTCTACTACTATGGGATTTGAATTGATAACTGCGTCACTGTCCTATGTGGTATGGTAACTTGAAACGATGTACGTACGTACGAAGTTCTACGTTGTACCTGACTGGCTGAGGCAACTACTCAATGATAATCTAAAAATATTAAAACCTAGTCTTTGATTGATAAAATCTATGGAACTAAAATAATTACCACTTGCATCGGATGTTGATAGTATGCGTCCAGACCGACCAGCTATACCCCTAGGATCTGAAGCGAAGAATATCAACTCTTGCTGATCATTCAAATCAAATGTATTCACTGGCGACCATGCTTTATAACTATTCAATTGATTTGAGTGTTTGGATGTTGGCATAGCGATCCAAAGGCGAGCTGATAAATTGGCATCTATTTTAACCTAAACAAACATTATTTACAGTAGACATAAAACTGCATTGTTAATGGATTTTCAAAGAATTTTAACAATAAGTAATGAGACAATAAAAGTTAGGGAGATCGAAATATACTAAAACTTAGAATACCAGTACGTACAGTTCCGATTAACAAAATTTGAGACCGTAATTAGGGAAATAAAAAATGAGAAAGTCTATTTAGAACGACTAGAAATTTAGGAGGAATTGAGTTATCTCTATTGTACAAAGCGTTTCTGTCGGAGTAACCAAATCAGACGAATTTTTACGCATGATACCAATGGTGAATAAAATGCATAAATCACCTAAAATAAGTTTGTACCTACAATGTACATTGTGAATACTTCATTGGATTTGCACCAACATATTACACTTGGAATTAGGTTAGACTAAAAATAAAACCATCAACATCCGTCGCATCACGATTAATAAATAGGCAATTAGTAGTATTTTGGAATAGGTTATAACATCACCAAACGATGTAGCGTAAACATTTACTACCCTGTGTCTTCACACTAATTACCCGAAGGTCCCATTAAAAATGAGATCAATCCTTTACTAAACAGCACTATGAAATACTAGAAATTTAGGAATGTCTACTACTTTCACAGTCACAAACTAATATAAAGTTAACGTCTACACAATAAACTCATTCTTTGTTGATTAGACAGGTATCTAACTAATATCGAAAGTAGTATCACTTAGCACAAGCTCAGCGAGCTTAGTTTATCCATTCTGAGACACGCACATAAAGTAAAAGAGGTTTTTAACTCGCTAACTCGGTACTCAAGCACTAGTCACACTTTAGGCTTGAACGCTGATTGCCCAAACTGAGATCTAGTCAGCCGGGTTCGAACCTGTAATCCTGACCGAAAGTCGAATGTGTTGACCACTGACCAATCAAAATATTGTTATGTATCGACGAATTAGTTAGAGTAGTAGTCACGAATCAAAATTCGATATGAGCTATGGGTAAAAGTAACACTCCTAAATTAGAAAGTATAATAAGAATAAAACACAAATACGTCCATAAAATAATGTGATCGAAAAATCCGAGCAAAAGCATTTTTATGCCACACCAAAGTAATAAACAGAACGTAGCACACTAACAACACAAGAAAACATACCTTCCCACGTAAATTATATCGAGTTAAATGTTTAACCAAATCGGGTACGTAATTGACATCAACTTCAACCAGGTAATCAGATCGGTTAGCCGATAAACGGTTAGTGTGATAGATAAATGCATCAGTTAGCACTCTACCCTAGAATAGATGATAAAAATCTTATATCTGACAGGGGATGAAATTCAGTGAGACATACCTTCAAATTGAGGAATAGTGAGTACATGAAGGAATTAGGTCGACTTATAGATTTGATATCATTAGTTATGAGACCTTGCAGAAATTCGTCAGCTGATGTACCATGAACGCATACCAGACTTCTTTCTTTTAACTGGCTTATACTCAGCAAACGCTTAGAAAGAAAATTAAAATAACCCACACGAAGATAGTTTCCGAAAATGATCATGCGATAGGAATAAAATCAAAAAGCCAACCTAAAATAAACACAAATATGAACTAAATTAGCATCCCATACAGAAATGAAAATGCTGGCTTGTTTTTAGATGGTTAGTATGTTATCTATCCATGAAGCAAACAGTCAGTCAGTTGCAACGTAGAACTTGGTATGTATATATATATAAGTTTAGATTACCATACATCATTAGCACAGAGACGCAAATGTCCAATCAAATCCCATAGTGATAGAGATAGTAGAGGCAATAATGTTAATGAAGAAGACTAGGGTTTGAAGATATTATTCAACAAGTATAATTCAGTGAGATAAGGTTAGAAAGACAGAGGTAGAGGTGCTGACGAATACAGAAGATTAGAATTTGAGAGAGCACAATAAATGGATGCACTTCCGCCATTGAAAACGATTTTGAGCCATGTCGTTCAAGGTCTCTAACCATTGATGACCATCGTCTCGCGGAACCTAACCAGGTCGCCTATATCTACCAACATGACTCAGTCCACTTGTCAGTGACTTCATGGATTTCTGCCACGTTTTGGTCTGATCGCCCTTAACTTTCTTCCAACCTGCTCCTATACAAAACATAGCTCGTCGCGGCAGTCGGTGGTTGGCCATACGTAACACATGTCTCAACCACCTCAACTGATGAAGTTTCAACACTTCATCTATTAATCTGCCATTTTAACCTAGTAATCGTTTCCTAACGACAGCATTGCTTACTCGGTTGTCCCACGATATACGAGCAATGCTTCTTAAACGTTTATGATCGACCATGATTTGCATCCATATAGGAGAATGGAGAGAACTTCTGGGCAGTACATTCGTTGTAGATGAATTTTCTACCGTAGCAGTTCAATTTGTTTCCAGTAGGTGTAGGTCGAACGCTCCCTCCCCTAGTCCAATATCAGAACACAATAATTCTAGGAGAAAGCGGTCTTTATTAAATATGAAATGCAAATACAAACAAATAACTGACTTTTAATACACCTTCCAAGTCCGAATTACCCTGATGCGTATCCAGTTACAAAAGAATAAGTGATAATAGATCTAACCGCAACGGTATCAAATCCAAAATGGCTGTAGCCATATTAAAGATCAAATTTAAACAACATATATACAGTTCAGAAGCAAACATAAAAACTTCAATATAAGTGCAAAATACAGAAATAATAACAATATACAATGATAAAATCTCAAATTGGAATCAAATAAAATACCAAAAATGTCAACAGAAAAAGTCCGTCATGTCATAACAAAAATATGTAAACATGGAGGGATTTTCCAAAAAACAAAACATTCAAAAAGGATTCTACACCGGCCCGCAGAATCACTCCATGCAAAACAAGCCCTTTCTGACACTTCAAGTTAGGGTTCACTCTGATCCCCTAATCCACACCGGAGGAACGAGTAGGACTTACAGCAGTACGCCTACCCGCCCTCCAACATGGATATGACCCATTGATCTAACTAGGTTCCTGTGCCTTCCCATCAGGCTCTTGATTCCTCTATCTATCGTAGCATGACCTAACGGTAGTATAAAGCCTATCCAATTAACCAATATGAACATGTACAACACGTCGTAAAGCTGGTCATATCCTATCCGGGAATTACATTCCATATCATGGGGATGAGTCGTCAATCCACCACCACTTGCTCCGATCGGCAGATACAATGAAGTCCGTGATGCTGACTTATCAACAGAAGTTCTTGACCCATAGATAATATGCAAGGGTGGGATCTCCAATTTTGTATTTCCTCGTCTCCCGAAGGCTTCAAGTTGCATAACATGGGATCAATATTTATCTCACCACCTCCTAATACAGAGGAGGTTTGATCAGCATTCTTCATCGTCGGCAACTCATTTACCACATCAGTGACATCCAGATTATTATCATCGTCATCATGATTATGATATAGATGACCTGTTGAACAATGCACAATTCAAACACTTTTTTGTGTCTATCATTGTAAATGTTTCTATTATTATTCAATAATGAAATATATATGAACGCATGTAATTTTATTTTTTACTTTAGAATATAATAATCCAACGGAAGGAATAACAACTCCAACACTCTGAATCCGTCTAGTTAATTTGAATAATAATAATTGAATTTCGTCCAAAGGACCGGATTTTTTTTCTAAATTTTAATGATTAATAAGTTAATTTTTATATAATATATAAAAAAGTATGCTTTACGGGTGGGTATCTTCTCAATCTAAAACATGTTTGTATGTTTGTTGACAAGCATCGCTAACGTAAATGAAAGTGTAGGTTTAGTGTGACATTGATATTTGAAGTCAATGCGTTTCAGTGTGTGTGAAAGGTATGCTGCTATAGAAATATGCATCGAAACAGAGAAAACATTGGAAAGCGAATAAGCCAGTCAAAATAAAATTAATGTTAATAATAAAAATCTAAACTTTTGAATGCAATATACCGCGTGGTATGTCGACAATCATATCTGAATCCTGTTAATTTACGTGGATGTGAGAAAGATGGTTGCCTCTGAGAGGTTCAAGATGGATTCAGGAGGATATTTTGCAAGGAAACTAATGAAAGTACTTGATCTCCAGTTTCTCGATTGTATCACAGATTGATGACAGCCTAATTTAATGGTCACTCATAGGTTGAATGGAATATAATATACAAAATCTTTTCACAATATAATCAAACTCCAACTTCATATATCGCGATCAAATGACCGCTCGATTGCAAAACCTTACCGACTCAGTAATCCATATGATAGAGATAATGATTACAATAATAAAACATAACATGGGGAATGATAATTCTGAGCCACATCATTGGGCTGCGCCAACAGGCAGGTTTTTGACAAGAATATTTCATGTTGATGACTGAAGAAATTTTGAACTCAGCAATATAAGATTTTGTCACGCCGTGACTTGCTTGTTTGCCTAAAACAAACTGATGATTCCCCTTATCACAAGTTCCAGCCAAGGTTTCAAGTGTTTATGAGAGTGATCAGCTCAAGGTTGGAAGAAGGACACATCAGGTCCACCATAATAAGAACGGCAGAAGTAATTGCATTGACTTCATGACACATTAGGGCTTTATAGTAGTTAACAGATTTCCTAATATTTAGAATGGTGAAAGAAATAGGGTGCTTTTCTCTGAAACAGTGCTTAATCTGCAAACATCACTGTTCTTCAAACTACATCTCAAATGTAGGTACAAACAAAAGCTGATCAAATCCCATCGCAAATATCAATCAGAATATAAGTCAAATCAGTGCAAACCATCACAAACATATGAAAGGTTTTGCAGTGTTTTATGAGTGGTTTTTCAATGCGTCACGATTCAACATCCAGGGAGTTGATACAATTCAACATGATGTGACGCGTTTTTTTGAAAATATTAGACAGTCTTTATGCTTCGGAGCTATCAATCAATATTACCAACGTTTAGGTGATGTTATTTACTTTCTGCCTTTCTTTCCTTTGCCTAAAAGTATTAAATATTTGTGAAAGAGCTGCGAGCTGATTGAACGCAAAGTTACTATACTCACAAGTAACCTAATCTATCACGATATCTCAATGTGCAAAATAATTCTTAAAGCGTACTAATGCAGTACCTCTTGAGAACACAACAGGAATCTGCTGAAGCCTGAATGATATAAAACAATGTGTGTCCGGAGTCCTTGCGGCAGTTTGCTTTGAAAAAGAATCCTAGATAATTGCACAGAGGCGCATTTAGCCGACTGTCATTCTGTGAATGTAACGAGTCGCCTGTTGGTCTAAGAGTCTGCGAAGAGTATGTATGAAACAGTGAATCGATTATTTCTATACCTATGTCACAATGAAATGCGAAATTCATTTGAAATCGCGAATGACCGCTCAGCTTAAAGAAGGCGCAGCGATTCGCACATGAGTTGATGAATCGATCGAATGTTCTAACTGCATATCAGATTTTTGTGTGAAGGCACATAGAAATTTGTAGATATATTTACGGTTTAACAGATTAATGAACCTGCTCAAATTCGAGATCAAGTTTATCATGTAATCAATAACAGATTTCTTCTCAGTTTCCACTTATGCTATTATAATCCTGTGTGGCCGTTTCATATGAATCATTGAGTTGATATTTCAAAGTTTACCATATGTTAGCTTTGACCATTGGAAATCTGAGAGATAGGCTACTTTTCTATATTTCTGCAATCATACCAAAATCCGAATGAAATGTTAATTTGTAAACGTTAGTTACTCATCACATTGCTACTCTCATTCATTTACTCGGTTTAGCACAACAATCATGTATTTATGAAAGTAATTACTGAATAGGTGCTGAAACTCAATGAGAACAATCACCAATTAGACGTATGCATTTGTAATTATCACATGTCAGAATTTGTTGCCTATCGTTGCATTTGATTTACCGTAATCTAGATGAAAACTGCTAATTGTTTGTCTTGGTAGGCTAACATTGTCATCATCAAAGAATTGAAATACATTTGGAAAGGCATAACAAATTACAGAGCGTGGCTTTGATAACTATAGAAACCAAACGGTTTCGTCAGATGATGAAAAATATTGTTGTAAATGTCCATGGCCAGATTTCACGAAATAACTCGAACACACAGTTTCAAAAACCTATACAATACCGTGGTGTTAACTATCAGCTCTGCAAACATGTCAACAATCAGGCTTTTCGATGAATGCCTCACTAAATGAAGAGGGTTCATCAAACACTAAAATTCGGTCTTTCGGTTTAAATGTTTCAACCAGAAATACAATTTTCCTCTGGTTTTCACTTTTCAATGCCCATCACGACGTTACCACGAAACGTTTAACAAATCAATATAACAACTTATATTTAGTAATTCCATTTGATCCTTGTTTCAATACTGTACTGTGAAGTTGATTTGCTTCTTCAAATAAATTGTCATATTCTATATACACTTGGAGTTTTAGCAGTGATTCTTCCAAAGTTTGATTAGCATTGCATTTTTACAATCCGTCAGAATGAACATGCG